GCGCTCAAGTGGATCCTGCGCATTTAGCAAACACTCACAACGCTGCTCAATCACTGGCCGGCGGTATTTCTTGAAAAGTAATAAAACGTTACACGACCATACAAACACGAGGTGGCTGCCAACTAGCATGCATAGCTAACCGCGCTACCTCCGCTGTAACCCCATAAGTGTTGTGGCGTTGTGAATTACTCAAATTTTGGGGGTGGCGCCAAATGGCGTATTTTACAAATTCCTCTTGTATTTATTGTAATATGTTCATTGTTGTTTTTTACCTAGTTTTTGTTATTGCTATAATTTGCGTTGTTGCTGTTAATGTTGTAGCGGTAACTTGTGTTGTTTTTGCTTAATGGGGGATGCGTTAGCCATTTTTCTTCGGTTGCGCTCGGAAAGCGCCCTCTTTTCGTCTTCTTCTATTTCTTAGTGTCGTATATATTTTCACCCGGCACCGCTTGCTTTCTGCTTCATCTCCATTTTCATGGAATTATTACATTATGTATTTGCCACATTTTGAGCTACTACAACGGGATTGGAATAAATTAAACGCATGTAGAATGGCTGGTAGTCAGCTAACGAATATGAGCAGCGAACGCTGTGCGGTAAATGGCCATTCATGTTGTTGTTTTATATACTATATACACTTGTACTTGTGGGCACAAATACGAACGTTGGTTTGTTGTTGCAATGTTTTTTTTTTATTTATTGCAAATCAACCGTTATTATTTTTGTAGTATGAGATTTTTCCAATAAATATATAAATATATACAATATATACTTGTATAAGTATATGAAATCGAGGTTGGGTGCTCTTCCACTCGTATATATTCGCCCCGTTTGTTGTCCTCTTGGGGTCACAGTCGAGTGCAACGAACCTCAGATTACCCATGAAAAATGGCGTTTCTCATGACTAAACTAGTCAGCTTATGTAAAGTATATTTACGCTGTGACTCGCCAAGAAAAGAAGTAGACGAACGCTGCACATTACTGCACGTAGTGACCTTCAAGGTCTTCCAAATATTAAATGGAAATTTTTTTATGAAAATTATCTTCTCGCGAATTAATGAAAATCGCTTTAAAATGTCCTAGTCTGTTAGAATTTTTGGAAATTATTTTAATTTGCTCTACAGGCAAGAAATAACAGGATTTGGAAAGTCTGGAATACCTATCCAGTAGATAAATTATAGAGGGTATTCCGCTCCCAAGACTGTCGGGTTTGGGTAAGCGGCTTAGACCCATATTTATATCCGGTCAACGACTGTCAACCCGACAGTATTCCTTTCAAATATTTGGAGCTGATTTTCGATAAGATTTTGTATTTCGTCTACAATAGAGAATAAGTCAAACAGTGAGAACGTTATAAAATTTTGGTGGTGAGAAACTGCATCTTCGAAAGAAAAACAGCCAGACAAACTACTAACATATATAGAAAAAATATCTCTCCAATAAATGCACATTTTTCAATACACCAATGACATGCGTGATGTTTTGCTCCAAGCCCTGAATCGAAGCAAGATGGTCCGCATAGACTTTAGACTTTACATATTCCCAGAGGAAAAAGTCGAACGGTGTGATATCACACGATCTTGGTGGCCAATCGACCGGCCCAAGACATGAAATTATCTGCTCACCGAAATGTTCTCTCAATAAATCCAATGATTGTTGCGATGTGCGGGAAGTGGCACCATCTTGTTGAAACCAAATCTCGCCGAGATCACGAGCTTCAATTTCAGTCATGAAATAGTCGGCTATCATGGCGCGATAACGATCGCTATTGACCGGTGATTCCACCGGCCCACAAACCACACCAAACCGTTGTTTTTTCTGTATGAAGTGGCAGCTCTTGAATCTCTTCAGGTTGCTCTTCTTCCCAAATGCGGAAATTATGCTTGTTTACATACCCATTGAGCCAGAAATGGGTATCATCGATGCACAAAGTTTGGCTCAAAAACTCGGACCTTTTAACAGCTTTTCAAGAGCCATAGATCGAAGCGATGTAGCTTGGGAAGGTCTAGCGTCTTAAGTTTTTGCACAAGCTGTATTTTTTACGCTTTCAATTTAAGATTTCAACGAAAAATACGCCAAGTCGTTCTATACGTCAGTAAGAGTTGCTGCGAACGGCGTCGAATCGACTCTCCATGGTCTTCGTGTACACTCTCAGCTACGACCGCTATATTTTCTTCACTGCGTGCTGGACGTGGTCAATTCGGTCGAGTATTAACCAACAATGAATGAACAATAATTTTTGCTACGTTTCGTGAAGATATCTTGTCAATTAAAAAAGTCTTTCATACGAAAGAATTTGTGCACAATTTCAAATCGATATCTCAAAAATTGAGGGACTAGTTCGCGTATATAATGACAAGCAGACATGGATAAATTCTGTTTAGGGTATAAATATCATAAAACTATGCCTGCTGTTTGAAAATTGAGTAAGATTTTCCCAATCTATACAAGCGATTTCACATATTGCAGTATTAACATGGGTTATAATGTTATTTCAATGGCAAGATTCCATCAAAGTATTGTAAATGTGACTTACTTGAAAGTTTCAGCAAAAAGACCCAAGATAAACGGGTCGATACCCCTATGTACTGACCTTGTTAACTTTATAGCTTTCGACAGCATTGGGTTAATATTAAATGAGAAAATTTACAGCTATGTGAAATACACATTCCCCAGCAAAATCGGCAAAGACCTCATTGAGTCGTTTGATACCAAACTTTTTGATATCCTTAATCGAACCGCAATAGAGAACAGTTCCAGCGGAAGAACTCAATAGCTCCGAAAGAAAGTTATAAAGGATATAGTGGTTATATGCCGATGACATTATTATCATCGTCTATACAAAAATGACGTCATCTCTAATTTCTAAAAAACAAGGATCTGTTGATGAACATCATAATTAGGGTCAGGTCAAACAGCGTTTTTTCCAACGAATGGAGGATGAATATTTCTCCTATATAATTTTTCTAATCTGGAAATACACGTAACAAATAAAGTTATGTTTAAGTAGCATTTTATTTAAATGTGATCATGACACCACTAGCCAATGATCGCCGGACACTTTTAAAAAGTCTACTTAACTCGTTTAATGGTTTTCAGTTAAATGACTAAACAACTTCAAATATACCTTTCACAAATACAAAATGTTCTGTATAAAAAGTTTGATCGGTTAATGGTTTCTAGTCAAAACGCTGAACGTACAGGCAATAATCCATCCCGAAATTCGTGAAGATATCTCATCAAATGAAAAAGCTTACCAATTTTCATATTTTCATACAATCACTTGGTTCCGATCGTTTAGTTTGTATGTTAACTATATGCAATAGTGATCCAATCGGAACAATTTCTTGGGAGCTTACATCGTTGGCTTAGGCAATAATCCATGCCGAAAAGTTTTCCATACAAGGACTGGATTTGGTTCGTTCAATTTGTATGGCTATATGCTATAGTGGTCCGATATCGGCCGTTCCAAAAAATGCGCAGCTTTTTGGTGCGACGGGTGCAAAATTTCAGATCGACCTCAACAACTAATGGACTAGTTCGCATTTATATGGACAGACGGACAGACAAACGGACATTGCTACATCGACTAAGCTCGTCACGCTGATCAGTTATATACCTATGTATACATTTGTTTGGGTCTCTGACGTTTCCTTTTGAGTCTCACAAACATAGTGGCAAACTTAATATACCCCGTTTAGGGTTAAAAATATTGGCAGACTTAGATATAAATTGTTGTTAAATTTAAACTTACCTTGACAATTAATGATAATTTTCATGCATTTTTATAATTAAGCACCAAAAGTTACTGCGTATACAGTGCAAACGCTATTCACTAATTTAAACGCTTTACACAAAATTTTCACATTTCACACTGTAAAACACTGCTTGACATTATTTCATTAATTTATGAAGAAATAAACTCATTTACACTTTATTTTCGATAATTATTTGAAATTTTTAAGCAATTATTGAGATTTGCACATTGCGCGAAAGTTGCTACCTGTCAAATTAACGAACAAAAAAGGAAAGGAAGAATAACAATGCGTTTATACTAAAGGCCGTTAATACAATGGCAACAATTAAAACCACTGAGAGCTTTCAATTACGAACTTTTATTGTTAAAAACAAAGAAACAAATGATGATGAAAATGTTAGGTATTTTGTGTTTACATAAAAATCGGTTTACATTTATAGTATATATATTACGTACCAGTATATTTGTAAATAACAATAAGTGAGTTTTTCTAAATATTATATATAAAACCGGATACGGAAGAAAGCGCACAATTTTACTCAAACAGCCGGCGTTGAAACTAGATCGATCGAAATTTAAGGTGACTGATATGATTTGTGTTTTTACCATTGGCAACGCTGGTTTGAAAAACCAATAAACGTGTTCACACCAAGTCGTTTTTTCCCTAGTTGGCGTACTAATTTTATCTGCAATCACAATAGCACACATGCTATTGAATTGAGATGTTAAACGTCTGGAGCATCTTGGAAAAAAGTAGGTTTGCGGTGTCCTGCATAACTCAGTGTTGGATCATCTGAAATCAAAAAATCAAAATTATATCGTTAGATAATCGCTTTAGCCACTATAACGTTTGGGGTTTTTTGAAATTTAACATTTTTCACTTTTTGGGAACACTTTGAAGGAAAAACTGGATTTTTTGCGTATAAATCGGTTAATTTGTTATTGGAATATGCATAGAAATTGTATTAAAAGTTGCAACCCGAGTTTTGAAGTTATAAGGGGCATCAACTTTGAAAACGGGAGTGAAAACGTGAACTTTGAAGTTTTGAACACCAAAAAAAACCTACTTTCCTAACATTCTTGAGATATTACACATTTATTTACAATTCGAAGAAAAAAATTTAACTCTACAGGGAGTAGGGTAAATAATTTACCATTAACATGATTTCAATAAAATTATATTGGCTTCTTAATTATATTGGCTTCTTAATAAGTCTGGTAACACTAAAGAACACAGTGTTGCTCGATGAAATCAAGTGGTTGTTGTCATTTCAACAAATATAAGCAGAAAGCAACCCTAATGCGTTTCATTTAGCTAAGAAAAAAAGAACAAAATAAACACAAATACTGCAATTGTTTACAATATTTTATATTTTCAATACTATTACTATTTATTAAACAGTATAATATTTATAAATAAAGCGCATAATTGGTTGTCAAATAAAAATATATTTGTTTATGTGAAAATGCATTGTCGACAGAAAGAAATATGTGAATTGGGCTGAAATGCAAAATTATGCAAGTTGCAAAAAAGGACTGTACCTTTGAGTAATAATAACTATTGCAAGTTATTATAACAACATTCCTTAAAAGATAAATTATTTATTGTAAATTTAGTAAAAAAGTCAAAATGGATGCCACAAATGGTTTGTTTACTTTTTAAAATAACCTCGCCGACGACTAAATTGAACGGAATATTAATGTGTATATGTATATATTTTTTTTTTAGCAATTTTATCAAAGCAAAACAAAATAGAAGCAGTTACGCCTAATAGCAACAATAAACCACAAAATGCATCTCAAAAACATTCCGGTCCCTTTTATATCTCACCATCACTTTTCGACAACAAACGTCTGCGACAGAAACGTCTCCGTTGGGCCAAAGCTTTGTTGGCGGCGGCAGGCTTCAAGCAGCATCACCTATTGCAACGAAAAAAGACTGAGCGCCGCAAACATGTTTTATGTGATTTACGTGCAGACGTAACTATTGACCTATTATCGGATGAAGATGAAAAGCCGATAGAAAATAATAATAGGGACGTTACGGCAACTGAAGCAAAACCAATTGTTATATCAAAATGTTCATCAATGACAATTTCCGATGGCCCACCACCCCTCGTTCCAATTTCGAACGTACATTCAGCACCCAAACAACTATTTACGCAAGTCTACGCTTTCCCCAACCACGCTATAGAAGTATCAAAAGTGCCGAATATAACGCTTATTCCTGTGCAGAATTTACAAAACCCGCCTGCGCCACCACCAGTTGCTTCAGTAGCGCCTATGCCACGACGTGTTAAACGTAAACGTAAATCGCAACAGCCGAAACGCCATAAACAACCCGTTATTGTCAATAATGAGAGCATAATTCTAAGTGATGAAAGTGATATCGATATATCCCTGGTAGAGCCTCTTGCTGAATCCTCTACGAATAATGTGTATCCGTCAGCATTAACAGTTGCAACTGAAACAGTGCCGCAAACTACAACTATATCACCCTCATCCACAAACAATTTACAACTTGTACAATCGCCTTCACCTACTAAATCGAATCCGTCATACCCCACACTTCTAACACCGTACAGTGCACAAGTTGATGAAGAAGTTACCGTATCGATTGTGCCACGCTCATCAACAGCCGGAGCCACTTGTCTCAAGCCCAATGACACTGAATTATTTCCTATGCTACCCGATGAGACCACAGTGCATACGGTTATTGCTAATCGTACTTATGAGTTATCATTAACAAAACTGCGTGAAGGGCTAGCCTCCTGTGGTATATCGGAGTTTGCAAATGGCCAGCAAAAGCTAGCGCCAGTACGACGTAAAGGACAACTAGTGGATACGCCACCAATGGTCTCTCCCAATCCGCCGCCCATATCTTTAAAATTATCCAGCGATTTAAGCATTTCATTGATCTCAGATGATGACGACGATAACCATGAACAACAACATCAGCAACGTTTGGCGGCAGAAAGTCTGTTACAAAAACAACCGCAGTTAATGGTACAACACTTGCAATTGCCTGCGGGTGGCATGTTGCAAGCCGGTGCAAATGTGTCGTTAGTTGGCACATCAAGGCTGCCGCCACGGCGCCGAAAACTCGTTTGAATAAAGGGTTGTTTGGGCGGTCAAAGTACAAAGCAAATAAGCTTTAAGTGCGTAATACGCCTTTTGAAAGTAATTGCAATGAAAAAGAAGAAAAGAAAACATTATTTATTACTACTCGACAACCTAAAACCCTGAAACCAAAGGGAATACAGATTTCAGGTGTAAATAATACTTGGCTTCGAAAGTAGTTCGTATACTTAAATTATCTCAAAAATCAATTTTTGCTTCATAAAAACGCAGAATTTTAATTACAATCTTTTTAGCTCGTCCATAACTCGATTTAAGTTTCTTCTACTGTGTAGGCACTTAGTTGAAGCCGCTAAAGCATTATTAGCTTAAATTAGTCTGCTTTATTTATGGAGTTTAATGCAAAAACCAGGCTAATTTCGCGTTACGAAATTTTATAAAAAAAAAGCAACATACGTAGAATTAACGTACAAAGTATTTAGAAATGTTTTCGTTAAGTGATAACAAATGCTTACATAAATTCATATTTACTTGCTTATATTTAAGATAAACAACTGTATATATACATTTTCTGAATAAAACCTACATACTATATACAAGTATATAATTGAAAAGATCAAGCAACAATTAGTTTTTTATTTAATGCATTTCATTATATATTATAGCTAAAACTTAAAAAAATATTAAAATATTATCATTTTCTTCTACCGGCACTGCGCTTGCGTCCATAATCGATTTCGCTGCATAATAATGGATTATCCTTTTGGCTCTCGTAAGCCGCTTTCGCCGTGGAGTGATAACCGCGAGTCTGCTTGGGAGCGCGTGTTAATGCTGTTGTTGCCATACGCTTAAGTGCCTTAGGCACGATATACTCTGGCACATGTGAAAGATGTGGTTGCACTTTCACCGTCTTCAGCGGCTTATCATGGCGGAGTACTTGCAGATCTCTCGTGTTTTCATTGAAGAAGCCTTTCAGTTTCTCACTATTGAAAATTTCTATTCTGATTTCACGCAAACGTGCCTCGTGCACAGCAATGCGTGTGATTGCGCGCCAAGCATCTTGTGCGCGATATCTAAATGGCTCGACTTCTTCCAATTTGAATTGATAATTTCTAGAAACAATAACAAAAACGAAACGGACGTTAACAAAAATAAATTTCGACACACATTAAATATTTATATCAACTATTCTTACTTGATGACTTGCTCTTCGCTCATGTAGCCGCTACGCAAACGCTCTTCTACAGCATCATTCACCTCTTTATCCTTCAAGCTAACTAATGATAAGACAGTGCCTTTATTTGTGCCACGCGCCGTACGTCCTGCTCGATGTATGTACGAGTTGATATCGATTGGGAAATCAAAGTTGATTACATTCGAAACGCATTGAAAGTCTATACCACGCGAGGCACCCGATTCGCGATCGCTTTTGTTGCGGCCAGGATTCTCCAACATGCGCTCGTCAGATGCAATTATAAGATCGTATATACCCTGGTTGAACTGATTAATGGTATGTATACGAATTTTTGTTGGCAGTTCCGAATTGAGTACGCAGGATTTTATTTTAAACTGTTCCAGAAATAGTTTGAGTCTACAGCAGAAATAATTAGATTATATTCGATTTTTCAAAAGCGACAAAGCAAAAGACATAAGCTAAGACTCGTATCAGAGAGAAGATTAGACAAATAAGTCATATATACGCCAAATTCTCGAGAGAAGCTGCGCATTCATTTGTAATACTAAAAATTCATCATGCTTAAGTAAAAAAAACAAAACCCTAAACAAATAACTTACTTATAGCAACGGTCCACAGAGTTTACGAAAATTACGTTTTTGCCACGTATCAAACGTAGTTTCAATAATGCATACAATATCGCTGGCTTGTCGTTTTCTTCCGCTGATATGCGTTGATGTGTAAGTTGACTTTCTGGTACTAGATCAGGTTCTTCTAATTTCAGTACAACTGGATTGTGTAGCACAATATTTTTCATATTCATCACATCATCTGATAAAGTAGCGGATACAAGTACTGCCTAAAATATGTAATTTTTTAAGAAAAACATACTTATATATTACACTTTCTTTAATTACTTGATAAATTGGCGGCAGATATTCAACAAGCTTTTTAAAATCCTTCTCAAATCCGAAAGAAAATACCAAATCTGCTTCATCCACCACAAGCATTTCAATTTTTCTCAAATCCAAAGCACTTGACTGTACATGTGCCAGTACTTTAGCTGGTGTTGATATGACCACATCAGGACGCTCTGAGAGCACATGTCGTTGTGCGACAACATCACTGGAGGAAAGATCTACAATACGAACTACTTTGCCACATTTATCGGCCATTTGTTCCATTGCAGTACGTATTTGCTGGCATAACTCTTTACTGGGTGACAGCACTAGTGCGCTGGTATATTGTTCTGATGCATTTAATTTTGAATTTAGTAGCTTTTGTAAAAGCGGTAAAGCAAATGCGGCAGTTTTTCCAGAACCAGTACGGGCACGCACTACCACATCTTTTCCTTCCAACAATAAAGGTATGGCTGCTTCTTGAATAAGCGTTGGCTGAAGCCAACCCATTTTCGAAATAGCCTACAATAAGGATATAAATTGTCTTTATAGCGATTAAAATCTTTTGGATTACGTACCTTCAGTAGGCGTTCATCCAACTCCATTTCATGAAACTGGAGAATTTTTTTTCCACTCTCCATTGTGTGGCTAATTTATTTTAATTAATTTTAAAAAATAAATAAACAAACTACTTCTATTTTTTAATAACTATTTAAATCTGTAAATGTAAGAAATCGCACACACGTTGTTGCCTAAAACATATGAACGAGATTTACAATGCTGCCCATCTTTTTAATCGTATAAGTGCTAAAAAGTTTTGATATTAGATAATTTGGTTGGATTTACTCTTGGCAGTTAACAATTTTTTCGAAGCGCAACTTTTTTGACAAAAATTGTCAAATCACCAATCTTCTGAATATATAAATCTTATTAAATTTACGAGTTGTTGCACTAATAAAATTTTATTTTCTATTCCTTTGCAACAACAACCTATGTAAATATAGCATTATTTTAGCTGTGCTTCCAAATTAGACATTTGCCCAAAAAGTGTTTCCAATTAACCCCTCCATTTATAAACATAATCACATGTGTTTTTATTTACCTTTTTATATCAATAAAAATTTTACCGGTAGAAATTTTTTTATTTACTTCATACACAACATAACTTTTAAAATTTAAAATTATTAGCATATAAGATTTTTCGCTATGCCGACGTCTATACGCGCACTGATTTCCGAAGGTCTCCGAGTGGGAGTAATTATGGCCTCCGGAGATGCAATTTGCCAAACATTTGTGGAAAAACGTGAGCTGAAAAACTTGGATGTAAATCGAATGTTGAAATTCGGTGCTGTGGGTGTTGTCTATGTCGGTCCAATGTTAAAAGTATGGTACGGAACATTAGATAAAATAGTGCCAAAAGGGGCTCCACCACTCAAACGAGCGTTAAAGAAAATGGCATTGGATCAAGCATGTTTTGCTCCATCATTCATTGCTAGTTTAATAGGCATCTTTGGTCTTATCAACGGTGAAAGCATACCAACAATTCAAGACCGTTTCAAGAATGACTACTTTACGATTTTGTCACGAAATTACATGCTTTGGCCTGCTGCGCAAGTAATTAACTTTTCCGTAGTTCCACTTCATTATCAAGTATTATATGCACAATTTATATCCCTAATATGGAATATCTATCTCTCTATGAAGTTGAATGATGAAAAGAAATAACTTGCAAAGAAACTATACAAATTTGCAATTGCTTAAATACTCCAAAATTATATACATAAGTTTCTTCGATTCGCCAAGCGTTGGAGACATGGATTATCCATGGTTGGAGTGTCAAAATATCAATTAACAATAAATATTTCAAGAGATCAAAAATGTGGGAAAATTTTCGATATATTTACGTTCTTGTATGGGATACAGGCTCTATTAATACATACGTATATATGTATATGTAAATTTTAAATTATTATGTTCAAAACCTAAGGATATTTGGAATCTTAAACGGCTATTATACTTGGTTAGTAAAAAAGTATTTTTTATGTATATAAATTTTTAAATTTGTATATATACATTTCTTTATATACAACTGTTTTGAATACTTTAAAAGTATGATAGTTCCTTAAAAGCCATATGAATAATCTATAGTGGAATAACCAAACTCAAAATTGTTATACATATGTATATAAGCTAAATAAAATATTGAAAATATTAAAAACGGTTCAAAAATGGCTATATCTCATTGTTTAGCGGTTATATATTAATTCCTTAACGTCACTGCTTTTAAGAAATTGAAAAATAACACATTTAGCGTAAAGTTGATTCTATATTGTACAGTTAGTGATTACATAGAAACCGGAGCGAAAAATTACGAATAAAAAACAAAATAGAAATACAAATGTCATAAATAATTTTAAAAAACTATAAAATCTGGTTTTTATGCCTTATTTTGCAAAATAACCAAACGCTTAAATTAATACCTTTTATATAATAAGCCACTAGAAGACGCGAAAAGTTAACTAACTGGTTACCGATAGGTTATCCGTAATTAATGCTTTTTTTTCGGCTGTATTCTAACGGAGCCTTCCCAACACCGGGCCGCATTGGGAAGTAACGGTGGCCTTACCGCGTCAAGGGGCTCTGGCGCGGCGGACTCTTTGTTCCCCTTACAGAAAGCTGACCCGACGTCTCGCCTCGTCGAGCCAAGGGTCCTACGAACAAGATGAACAACAAAAATAAAAACCAAACAACAACAAAATCAAACGGATCTCGGCAACAACAACAGCTAATGACCATGGAAAACGGCAACGGCAAGGGCAGCGGTGCAGGTAAGGGCGAATTAGGGGCTAAACGAAAGTTCAGCTTCCTGGACGCCCTTTCGCCAGAGGAGTGAGCGCTGTTCGAGGAGCATGCCAGGGACGACGACGATGACATGCCCTCGTGCAGCGGCGTTCAGCAGGCGATTTCGACTGCGGCCGTTGCGGAAAAAGCAAAAGAGAACCCCACGGAGACTCTCGAGCAGGAGCAACTGCTCGGATGCAGAGGAGTCGCAACGGGCGACCTCCGGTGGGGCTCTTAAACGGAAAAGGAAGAGGGGAGGCAGACTACCCCCCCTGCCACCAACGGGATGTCCGGGAGGACAGGACGATCCCAGGAGAAAAGGTATGAGCGGTGCCAGCCTGAAGTGGTACCTGAGGCACCTCCAGGAGGGAAGAACTCCGGAGGTAGCAGAAGACCTAGCGCGGAACAGGGTGAGAGGTGACAGCACTTCCCCGGCTTCCGGAAAACAAAAGGATGGAAATACCGCGGCCACTAGGAAACGCAATGGCAACAATCGAGGCCACTGCCCAGTAAACGCAACTCAGCCCGCAGGCCGAGGTTGCGAAAGGGCAGCTCCCTCGACCACCCAAGCGGCGAAGCGAAAAAGTGGACAGCTGACGCCACAGGAACCGCCCAACACCAAGCGGCAGAGGGGAAACGTGGCTCATGCGACTGGTGGCAACCGCTCCGCCCCAAATCCCCCCCGGGTAGCGGAGGGACAGCGCAGGTATGCGGATGCCCTCAAAGGCATTCGTATGGCGGTGCTGCCGCTGAACTACCCGGCGGAGACGCTGGGGTCGGAGGAGCTCACCGTGCTCCAAGATTTGCTCATGAAGGAGGTATTCAGGGGGTCTGGATACAAAGCCTCCTTCCATGGGGTTTATTTCAAGGGAGGCATATTGCAGGTTGACTGCAAGGATGAAAGGTCGGCTTGTTGGCTGCGGGAGATCGCTCCCAAGCTGGCAGGCTGGAATGGACCCATCCTCTGCGCGAAAAAGGGGGACGAAATTCCGCCCATGCATAGCATGACGGTATTCCTCCCCAGATGCGCAGGCAAGCCTTACGAATTTGCTCTCGGGCTCATCCGCAACCAGAACGATGGCCTCAATACATCGGCCTGGCGGGTGACCAGCAGCACTGAGGAGGATTCAGGGTGGAGGCTCAACCTCTCCATAGATGACGAATCGTACAAATTCGTCAGGAAGGTTCCGTCTGAACTATAGGTTCAGCTCGGTGGTCCTGAGGCCATTTAGGCCTAAACCGACCACCGTGGGCGATGCAGGGGAAAAAATGCAGGTGGATGACGGTGAGAATGAGGACCAGTTCCTCATGGAGCCGATCCTGTAGTGGGTCCGCGAATAGAAGTTGCCCAGGTAAACCTGCACCACGCGGCGTCAGCCTCGGCGGTTATCGCGAGCAGGTTTACGATCGATGGTCTGGGCATACTACTGATCCAGGAGCCATGGAGGCAGCTAGACTGCATAAGGCTCTGGCTAGAGGCAAGACGGACACAGTACTAGCGATCAAACGATCTGATGGACCTATACGTCCAGCGCAGAAGAAAGAGCTACGGCTCTTCTACTAGCGCCTTTCCCGGAGACGATTCATGAAGACCAGATTCGACCAGTAGGAGAAACTAAAATTCGTCTGGGAACAACAAGAGGTTGCCCACAGGGCGGAGTGCTATCCCCCCTACTTTGGAGCCTAGTTGTAGACGACCTCCTTGAGCGGCTGACTAGCAATGGAATCCGCTGTCAGGGATATTGTTATCTTAGCTAGGGGAAAATTTGAAGACACACTCTGCGATATCGTTCAGAGGGGATTGGGACTGGCAAAGGGGTGGTGTAGGGGGGTTGGCTTAAACATCAACCCCGCTAAAACTACAATCATTCCCTTCACCAGACGGAGGTCACTGCCGGGCCTCAGGAATATATCCCTGGACGGCAGAGTGGTTGAGATGTCCAGCACGGTCAAGTATCTGGGACTCACGCTGGATTCCACACTGCGATGGAATCAGCACGTGGACCAGACCCTAACCAAAGCTACAAAAGCACTCATGGTGTGCAACCGACTTGCTGGAAAATCCTGGGGGTGCTCCCCAAGGACTATCAGGTGGATGTACACCATGATTGTGAGACCGATTATCACGTATGGAGCGGTATCGTGGGGTTCGAAAGCATCGCAGACTTCGGTAGGACTTAAACTGTCGAAGCTGCAAAGACTTGCCTGCATCTGCGCGTCGGGAGCAATGCGAACGTGTCCGACCGCAGCACTGGAGGTCATGCTAGAACTTTCACCGCTACACCTGGTAATCAAACAGACAGCCAAACGAACTCTGCTCCAAATGACAGCAGAGGGAGCTGGCAAAGGGAAGGTAATCTCATCCCAGCAGATGAAAGAGCTAAGTGAGGAAATACCACTAGCCCTTCTCCCAAGGTATAGCATTACCAAAGTAGTAAACTTCAGCAGGAAGTTCCAAGTAACCCTTGGCAGCAAATCTGAGTGGAAGGACTCTGCGCTAGACCTGCTGCTAAAGGGTTGCACCATCAAGTGGTACACCGACGGGTCGAAAACGGAGGAGGGGATTGGTGCAGGGGTCGCTGGGCCAAGCACCAAACTCTCCATTCCCATGGGAAGTTTCCCTAGCATATTCCAAGCCGAGGTCTATGCTATAAGTCAGTGTGTAGGAATAAATCTCCAGCGCAACTATCGCAATAAAAGTATCGCTATACTCAGCGATAGTCAGTCGGCACTAAGAGCGATCAATGCCTATGAGGTCAGATCTCTCCTAGTGATGGAGTGTATAGAACGGCTGAACAGCCTATCTGAGCACAACCAAGTGCACCTTATTTGGGTGCCTGGCCATAGGGGTATAGCTGGGAACGAACTAGCCGACGAGTTAGCTCGCTCTGCAGCCTCTACAAGAATGGTAGGGCCGGAACCATACTTAGCGGTTGGTCCACATACTATCAAAGAGCTCCTCCGCAGGGAGGAAAGAGCAGACAGGGAGATACACTGGCAACAACTCCAGGGCATGCACCATGCCAGACTGCTAATGGAGGGTTACGACCTCAAGCGGTTCAATGCCATAATTAATCTCCCAAGAAACAAATTCCGGCTACTGGTAGCGTTCTACACCGGCCACTGCAGGCTCAAGAAGCATCTCTTTAACATGGGCATAGCCTCTTCTGCAAACTGCCGGTTCTGCGACATAGAGCCGGAAACCCCCGAACATCTGCTGATGAACTGCACAGCAGTCTGCAGACGCAGAATCAAGGCCCTGGGATCCATGTTTCCACACAGGGATTGTATCGCCTCACTAGCACCCAGCAGAATTTTGGAATTTATCAATATGCTGGGCCTAGATGACACGATATGACTTAGGGGAGGGCACAATAGACCGTAGGTCGCGGTGCATACCTCAAAATTAATCAATCAATCTTACTCGCTCTCTCTCATTGCTTTTGCGCAAACGCTACATATATCTTACTGCTCTAATATGCCAACTATTTTGGAAAGCTATTTGTTACTCTTTGGTTAATAGCGTCCTTGTCATTGTCTATTTATTTGCGCAAATTATAGCCAAATGAAGTAAGGTAAGATATAAGAAAGCAATTCTTTAATCAAACCCAAAGCAAATACTATATTAAAACCGTTACTTCATAATATGGTATTATATAATTCAATATATATTCCTATATAAGCTGCTTAAATATTTATCACACAACTGTACGCGAAGAAGCCCATTTCTACGAGTCTCTTTGTGATTTGGCAGCACTTGAACTGTCAGCTGACTAATACAAAAATAAAATCCCGCGTTTCAATGAGTCGCATTTTTTACTAATTGTGCATATGTGAAGATTTTAGTCGGTAAATTTGTTAATAACAGTTAAAAATTAGTTAAAACGTAATATAACATGTCCTCTACACGTGAGATTGTTACATTACAATTTGGCAACTATGCAAACTATATTGGAGCACATTGGTGGAATATACAGGTGTGACAACCGATGCAATTAACAGTTTTAGTTGTAAAAATAACGGTTTCTATATATTTTTAGGAATCAAGCTTTAGCTATAATCCGGAAGATGCGCCTTCAGAAATTTCTCACGACGTATTGTACAGGGAAGGTGTTAATTTAAATGTAAGTTCAGAGTACATAAATATATTTTTTATGACATATAATTCTAGTTACTTACAGAGACAGGTAACATATACACCTCGTCTATTGCTTGTTGATTTAGATGGGTCCCTAAAGCATCTTCCGCGTGAAGGTGAGCTATATGGAAATAGTATAAAACGTACAACAGAAGGCGTAGAATCAATTGATGATGTAAAGAAAATTAAAGCGGAGCTGGAAAACATGTCCACAGATGTGGAAGTGGTAGAGCAACCACATGCTAGTAAGCATGATTTCCAAAAGGATCTCGAAGATCCCGTAATCGATATACAAGAGAAAAACTATGATTTGGCTGATAATGTTGATACGTGGACGGATTATCTTTATGCTCGCTATCATCCACGAACTGTAAATATCGTTAATGATTATAAACATAGTACAGAGAAACAAACCTTCGATACCTATGCCTGTGGTGTACAACTTTGGAAAACTGAGCAATTCGAAGATGAGTTTTGTGATAAAATACGACAATATGTGGAAGAGTGCGACTTTCTGCAAGGCTTTCAAACATTGTTTGATTGCTTTAATGGTTACTCAGGCTTAGCCACCGCATGCATGGAATACCTCAATGATGAATATGGAAAAGCAAATTTTGCTTTACCCGTCTATTCACCACGTAATACGCCGTTTGAAAATGCAGGTACATGCAATAAAAAAATAATTTACAATCTCTATTATTCTACTTTTCTTTCCACATTTTCTATTGCCAGATGAACCCATGTCAGACTCTATACGTGTCGTTAACAGCGCATTGGCGTTCCACAAGTTAAGTGAACAAGCTTCACTGTTTGTACCGCTCAGCACAAGCGATCGTGTATGGCGACAATTGGGCACAGCGCGTCAACTGCGTTCACTTACCTATCAGCCAGATAATTTGTATCAAACTTCTGCTGTACTCGCTGCCTACTTGGATACAATTTCATTGCGTTATCGGCTGCGCAATGCGCCCAGCGCTTACTCGCTAGCTGGGTTCTGCGGTGATTTAAATAATTACGGACGCAAATTGGCTGCTGCCGCTTTTGCACTGCCATTCCCCATGCAACAAAAACAGGATCTCATTGATTGTTTGGATCAATTTGAAGGTCCGATTTTCACATCACTCACACCCAACTGCAGCATAGGCACCGATTATGTAATACAAACGTTGTGCGTACGCGGTATAACACGCGAACGTCTAAAACAGCCTTTGGAGAAGGCTAAAGAACAAATGCGCATGGCTGCTTACAAATGTGATAGCGTCTCTGAAATGTTTCAACTTTACTTGCAATGTGCGAATCATGCGAGTATGTCACATGTGGCATCGGTGTCAATGGCTATGCCAACGCGTATACCATTTCCAAATGAAATGTTTGGCGAAGAAATGACAAAATTGGGTTTTCTCTCGCCAACCACAAAAAGGCAACCAGAAGAGAAAGTTGTAGCTGTGCCGACGCTAGCCGCGGTACAGTCATCTAGCGAGTTGGGTGATACGCTAGAAACGCTGCATCGCGAGGCTAAACGTGTGAAAATAGCCAAACTGCATCGTTATAAAGCAGCTGGCTTAGAGGAAGATGATTATGTCGACGCGCTCGAACAGCTATTGTTGTTCAAAGACAATTACGAAGATAACTTCGAGTTGTAGACAAAAGTGAAAACGCGAAATATACTCGTAAAATAGTAATTAGTACGGTTAAGAATATGTGAACGCGAAAATATAATATAATGCCTTACAAAAATTGTGACTAAGCTATAATAGAGTTACACTCATAGCACAGTCAAAGTAAGCTAAGTAGTTTAGCATAGTAGTTAGTTAAAAATTAAAGTAGTTAGTTACATAGTCTACGTCACTAAATTGTTGTAATAAAGAAATAAATGTCTATTTATAAAAAATTATAACTCAAAATGCTGTATGATATTAAATAATCGTATACTGTGGCATCAGTAGTCATAAGTGTATAATATTCTTCCCAAATTTATAAATTTTCGCATAACTAAAAGGTGTCTGCAAATGCAGCTGCCTTATTACAAGTTACTGCCACATTTATTACAAATCGATCCTTTTATAAATTGCTCTTTAAGCTCCGCTCTTCACATTGCATTTCTCCAAATGGTACTTAAAGCGCATGCAAGCAATTTTTGATAACCCGCAAAGGCTGCTGATGCGCGTTAATGGCAGCTAGTGTCTATATTACATTTATATCGTTCATTGGCGGTAGCGCCCATCGCATGATGGCCCATTACAAGCTATCAAATAGTCGAGTACAATATGGATACTTAATATACAGCTGCATAGCACGTCTTTATTTCCGTACCTTCATAAATTGCAATTGTATTGCATTTAGAATTTGGAAAGTATATACTGGAGTAGCCTTGGTGTTTGAGTTCTTCCGTGAAGCGTGCGTTGTTCCTTGGTTCATACTATTTCTATTTTTGTACTTTTCGTGTTTCTTTTTTGTTTTTTTTTGCGTTTTAATCTTACTCCAGTTCGTCTGCTTGGCATTGTAAATAAATGATGAGCAATGAACATGCAATTGCCTGGCGCCCGCATCGTCCAAATGAATGGTTGGTCGGTTTGGCTGAATGATAACGACGTTGAAAATTTGCAGTTTGGCATTCACCAAACTAATGGCAGGATATGGGGCACTTTGTTTTTGGTGCATAGCAATCTGCTTCTTATTTTCTCTATTTAAACGATTTTTTAACTGTCTCTTAAATTACACAGTTCTTAAATTATTTGCTAAATCGGCAAGAATTATCAAAATGATGCGATAAATACGGTTTTAATTCCTAATCAGTTTCAAATACATGAATGCGACTGTCCTGGGAAGATGCCGCGTTTGTTCGGATTCATTAGATTTTTTATAGCATACTATATCGAATTTTTTTCGAGTTATATCCATAATAGATAATATAGCTTAATTTTGAAGCCTTGCCATTGTGTTCATCATATTGACATATACGCTTAGGATCATCAGTGTTCACATTTCTTTTAGCATTTTGGCATTTCTAGCTCTCGAAAACTTTTGCTGCTTTGCTTACATCCTTTTTCTTGAGTAGCTCTCTTCATGGCTACGACATTTTTCTAAAGCCGGAATTGAATCTTCGAAAGATCTTATGTCACCTAGTAATTTGTGATAATTCATCTGATGTAATGGTTAATCTGCCAAAATTGCTACCAGTAGCTCTTTCCTCAATCTCTACACATTCAGGATCAGTTGACGTTTCCATTGATAACTTCGTCTACATAATTTAATTCCTTATCGTTATGACTTGATTGTGAACCGCTGAGAATAAACTCTTTGCCGTATTATCCATAGTATATGCTACCAGCGATTTCGAATATTGTGTTTTCTTATATTCGAAAATACCAAATTCCAATTAGATTATGCAAGACAGATTGAATTTTTGACAGTTTATATAGTTTATAGTTTAAGGTTGTCCACACCTAATGTCAAATTAACAAAAAAAACTTTTATTTCGATAGATAATATACCTTTGTCAACAATAAACTAAAATTTTAAATCGATATCTCAAGGTGTTTTTGAGTAACGGATTTCTAAAGTGTTGCCTCCACAAATTTTTTAAATTTGCTTGAGTGATTACTCGGAGGCTAATGATCCGAACACTATCAACCTTCCAAATTCCGAAACTGACATTATTGTGTACTCTTGAAATATGTATACATATACACATAGTTGTACTTGTATATATATTGTAGATATCTTCCAATACCTAGTTAATGGTCTTAGTTCAAATCTATCAGTTCAAGTAGTTCAAGGCTATCAGACTATCTAACACCACTCATTTAACTTCAAAATCACATCAAAAAATTATTTAATAAAAAAAATCGCTAACGCTTTAAAAGTTTTAAATTCAATTCAATAAAAAAATATGCCGACAATCCCAAAACAAACGAAGCATTACTCAAACACCAGCGGCTGCAATAATCGCAAGGAAAACAAACGATTACAATTGATTTTTACAATGAGCCCTTTTTTCGCAGTTGTTTTTTGTTTTTATTTCAAATTGTGTTCCTTAATACCGCCCCCACCGCACCTTCGGCACACGGTCATCATCTGATTTGCCTGCTACGCTTTGTATTCAAAGCACTTCCGGTGGCAATCAATGTCTTCGCATGCTTACAATACGAAATTCGTATTTAAGACTCGGCTTTGTGAGTGCCTGCCATAGATCAGGCAATTGAAGGTGAACTGGCGGTAAAATAAGCTAAACAACAACATAAAGAGGTGCGTCAAACTTAAATGCGAAATAAAAAGCAAAGAAAATCAAAACAATCGATAAACAAAACATCATAGGGAAAGCTTGTTTTTCAATGCCGCGTATACTTTTGCGACTTGTAACCCCTTCTTTTTGTTGTTGTTTTTTATTTTAAAGTTGTTAACTTTACGAATTGGTTGGTGCCTCGTGGAGGTAATAATCGAACGGAAAAGTGCTTTGGCAAGGGGTTAATAATGATTTTGTTTATGTACTTTTTATTGTATGTTTTCTTTTGTTGTTTTTTTTCTCCTTCCGTAGGCAATCATTGTAGGCTTTTATTGAATATTTTCTCCCAATCTCGTTTTCGCTAACATCAAAGACCTGGTTTTGGGTCGAATTTTGATATTTTTTGTTTTATACGTATTTATTTCTAAATTTGATTTAAATTTCAGATTACGGCGAAATTTAATTTTTGTCACATTTATGTTTATATTGGTGTAGTAAAAATAAATCCATTAGTTTTGCATGAAATTAAACGGTTTTTTGCAATGTTTGGGTCCTGGACAAACGTAATCGTTATTTGGACTCGGCGATTTCAATTATTTGATCGATTTTTTTCGATAATTGGTCTTCCAGATCGTGATGCTAGTGTCCAACTTTGACACGCGCTCAAATAAAACTGAATCAACCAAACACAAAACTGCCAGAAAAGTTTTTTTAGTACGAAATGTCATCTTTCTAACGCCATCTAGCCGAGCCCGATCGGACTGATACAACGCGAGATACAGATAAATAACGCCATCTATTGGAAAAATTGTTGGATCTTTTTTTACTGCATCTAATATTAGTATTTGAAATTTCTTCAATTTGCATATAAAAAAAACTTCTATCGTTAGAGCATAAATAATACTGTATTTGGCAACCATGTTTCGCTCACAGGTATATTTAGTATTACACTAGTCTTAAAAATCTACATTATAAACTCTGATGAGGGCTATAGAAAATAAATATTTGACCAATTCCCGTCACAATTTCCGGTGTTTATATTTTGATTTGTTTATATATGTATGCATATTTTTTTCTCCAGTAATTTTTTTAGAAAGTTTGAAAGAGACCTTTGAATAAAATTTTAATGAAAATTTAATTCCGATCGATTCACTCCTTTTCAATAAACAAAATCCATGTGCTAACGCATTCCAGGTACGGTTGAATGAAAACTTTCCATTGTTTGATTGAATTTTGTCTTTGAGATCAGTGAGGCGTTCTAGTGGCAGAAAATATCGTATGTCAAGATGCGGAATCGTTCTTGGCTGGATCAAAAGTTTTTTCCTCTCCGGTTACGTAGAGCAGACTATGGTGATATCGGGAGATTATTCAATTCAGAAGGTGACATAAAGTACATACTTTTTATTTCTTATATAGGATCCGCTTTAAATTATTTGATACCCAGAACTGGGTATTTTAAATATGCAACCAAGTTTGTAACACCCGGAAGAAAACGTTGGAGACCGTGTAAAAAATATGCCGTTAACACTAGAACTACGAACCGGTCAAAATTACCGGTTGCATCATTTATTTATACCATTCTCTTTTTATTCCTATTTAATATTTTACGATAATGTCATGATTTTTATAAAATTTGTGTATTAAATAATATTATAGATTATTTTGTTCCTACGCTTCTAATTTTCAGAGAGAGAGAGAGGCCTATTTGAAATAGGTATATGGTAAATCTTCGTAGTTCTAGTGTACAGGAACTAACCAAGGCAATTATAAATATATTTTCGTATATAAATTCGTATATAGATGTATATAAGTATATAGCCATGTCCGTCTGTACATACTCGTAGTACTCCCTCAGTTTTTGAGATGTCGATCAGAAATTTTGCGCGCAAAGAAAAATTGCTTCAAGATACAATCAAAGTACTTGGCTGGGAGCTGCTACCCCACCCACCAGACTTGGCACCTTCCGATTACTATTTGTTTTCATCGATTCCTACGTAACAGTCGAAAATTGGGTGTCTGATTGGTTTGCTTCAAAAGACGAACATTTCTATTGGCATGGTATTTGCCAGAAAGGTTGTCAAAAAGCAATGATCAATACTTAGAATAATTTTTTTTTACTTTCCCATTCAAAACCAGTATTTTATTTTCACAAAAACGCACTCATTTCATAATGATACATAACTATCATAGAAACTGGCCGATCAAAATCAAGATAAATAACTTTTGATTCCTTTTTATGCTATAAGGAATGCACCTGTGCGGGGTTATATAGTTTCAGTGTTCAAAACCTATTCGAAGTTAACATTTTATCTCTTTGTTTTTTATATTTATACAGGATCGGTTTCGAAACATTTTTCTTGATGAACCAGGAACTTTTAGGTTAGTTTGAGATTATTTAAGTTTTTCTCATGTTAATATGTGGATTTTGTTACTATTACAATTAATATTGTTCAAAAAGTTTCATTTATCATTGTCAATGTGAATGCGTCCAATTTTGATCATTATGTAAACTAGTGTCAGCATGCTTAATTAGAATCAGCCTGATATTGTATACCTTTTTAAGTTAATAGGATAAACTGAAATCAGAATAAGCTATGAAACGAGTACATCCATTTTACATTATCTAAATTCAATTCTTCTATAATTTTGCTAATAAAGATGTTAGATATTGACTAGACC